CAGGAAAAGTAAAACTCCTCCACTGGGTATCTTTGTCTAAACCCCAAAGTCCTCACCCCAAGGCAACTCTTTTGCTCTGCCCACCCATGCACCATAATACTGAACCACTGCATTTCACAGACACAATCTCTAACTCTTACTGTGTCCCACTGATTATCATAACTCCACGTGATGCACAGTATCACGAACTCCATTTAACAGACGAGAAGACTGAGGCAGAGAAGTGGAGCCATGCTCTGAGCCATCACGTTCCACTGCCCCTCAAGGCTGTGGCATCCCTGCCCTCCCCTGCCCCCTCCATGCTGGGCCATGCCTGATCACCCTTTCATCCCCTGGGCCCAGCCAGTGCCCAGCACAGAGCAGTGCTCAGCCCAGGCCATTAAACAGCACCAAGGGTGCTGCGGTGGCCACGCCTCCATGCTGAGCTGCTCCTCCTCTGTCACTCTCTGCAAGTCTCAAAGATCATCTGCCCAAGGAAAAAGCACAGGCAAAATGCAAGTGCGAGGTTTCTCCTTTTCTGTCACCTATTAACATTACACCATCTGCCCCAAAGCAACTGTCTAGTTTCTTCCTCACTCCTTTGCAGTGTTTCCAGTCATGTAGTTCAGCCTTCCTTCTGAAGCACAAGGAAATGAGGAGTGTCTGAGAGACACTTCAGAAAAGCCGTCTTCAGAAAAGTGAGGCTGTAAAGTTAAGGTGAGTGCCCCTTCTGAGAAGGGAAAGCAAGGTGAGGCCCAGGACAAGGTTCTCAAACTTGCTGCATCTGCCCTGAAGCCAGCAGGGGTCGACTGGAACCCATAGGGCCCCTTACTGGCTGCTCCCTCTGAGGCATTGAGCTGTCACCTAACTGCATCTGGCCTTGCTGTCCCCGCTCATCACTGTTTTCTCCTGCACCCTGGCTGCCTCATGAGACTATGTGCTCCCTGAGCACAGAGACAGTGGGCATCTGTGGTGCTGCCCAGCCCTGGCCCCCTTCTTTCCTCCTCCTCTGCTTTCTGCTGCCATCACGAACAGTGCCCTGTCCACACACACACACACACACACACCATGTGTACTTGTGCCCATCCTGTTCTCACAGGGGGACATCCGGCTTCCAAAAATGATCATAGTGCTCCCAGCCTTCACCCCTACAGCTTGCACTGCCAAAAGCCCTGGCTGGCGGGACGTGAGCAGTTCACACCCGCCCCTTTCCGGCTAGCCCCTGAGGCATAGCGAGCCTGTGCTGACTTCCAGGGATTGCGTGAGGTGGGAACGCTGGACAAAGGTGTATTGTGGCCTATGTATGCGTGTGCCTCACATATAGTGCAGGAGAAAGAGCACTGTGCAAAAATCTCAATTTATAACAGGAATACATTTAGGGCAATTATTCACACACGAAACAATTGTTTTGACAAATAACTGGGACAATGCTTATAATGAGCCCAGCATTCCAAATGCACTCAATCGCCGTAGCTATTATGGTTAACATTGTCATTCCCATAACTGCGTTAAAAATACTTCTCTGGGCCAGCCCATGGCATGGTGGTTGGGGCGACTGGATCCCACGTGGCCAGCTGCGCAGTTCAAGTGCAGACCAGTAGCTTGGGAAACTTCCAGGCACACGTGTGTGTGTGTGTGTGTGTGTAGGGTCCCTGAGAGGGAAAAATAGAAAATGGGGAATTGCGCTGTGACCATACCCCACGGGAGAGGAGGATGCTTTCTCACTTTCCCACTCTCTCGTTCTCTCTCTATCTCTCTCCTCCAAGTGCATGTGCCCTCTGGCAAAAATTTTTTAAAAAGAAAGACATTTCTCTGGTCTTGAGACAGGACAGAAACATGAAACGCACATATAACCTAACTTTACATGCCATCTTTAAATACAGTAGAAACAGAGCAGGAACAGGACCTGGGGGTTAATGTGATGGGATATCTGTCTGCTGAGATTTTGTGTCACTGCACACACCGGCAGGCAGGAATAGCCAGGCTGCTGTCATTTCTCCTAGGAGAAAGTCTTCCCTTTCCTTAGCAAATAGGAACTGAATTCATAGTCCCTCATTGCATCTTTTAAGTAGGTCAACAATTCGTTCCAAAGAAAGTCCTCATTTTCTCACACCCAGGAGGTGAGAAGATTACTTCAAAAGAGTTGCCTCACAGCCCAGACCAACACATACAAACTTTCCCTGGAAAACCTCAGTGCCTGGAATTCCACAGGGTGGCTCTTTCTCAGAGCAGTGGACTTCTAAGACTTGGTAGCGCCTGGCAGAGCTGAGTCCAGAGGCAAACCTGTCTTTCCAGCTGTGATTCCAGGGAAAACCTCAGTCCCTGCTGGGGCTGAAGGCACTTCCCTCTGGTGCCGTAGCCTCTTGATGTTCCTAATTAGCCTCCTCTTTGACGAACACAAGGCTCATCCATAGGAAAGACCCGGGCTTTTTCAGACTGCTTTCTTGGACCATCCTCCAGCTCCTCCTGGGGAGGCAGCTGAGATTATTTCACTGAAGAGGAAACCAGGACTCAAGGCCACAGCAATGGAGCTGAGACCTCAGGTAAGCCTTCTAGGACCAACGCCATTTCCACGATCCACACACCTCATTCGAATGGTTTCACTAGTAGGCCAACTTAGTGTCAAAACACACCCTCCCGCACACCTGCCATGCGCTCTCTCTGTCTTGCACAATTAATTCCTTCTCTGTTTGGCATCTGAAACCCGTCTCAGATGGAACCTGCCCGCAGACCAACCTTGGTTCTGCACCCCAGCCCTGGTCCTACCTCGGGCTTCCCAGTCTCAGGAAATGCCACAACCATTCACCATGGGTGACCGACTCGGGCCGAGCCTCAGAGTCATCCTGGAAGGAAAGACAGAGAGAAAAAGGAGAGTGAGGAAGAACGACAGAGAGGAAGGAAGGGAAAGAGGGAGGAATGAGAAAGCAAGGAAGAATGAGGGAGAGAGAGGTGGAGGAAGGATATGAAAAAGGAGAGAGGAAAGGATGAAAGGAGGTTGAAAGAGAGAAGAGAAGGAAGGGAGATGGAAGAAAAAGAGAAAGAGAAGGGGGGACAGGGCCAGAGGAGGAGAAAGGAAGGAATGGGTAAAGAGGGAGGAAGAAAGGAAAGCTAGAGAAGAAGGAAGGGAGAGAGGCGCAAAGCCATGGGCGTCCCCTGCAGGAAAGCACAGGTAAAAACGCTGTGCGTAATGGGTTTTAGCTTGTCTAAGTCAGTATCCTGGAATAATATCCCATGCCCTGTTTGAGTGTCTGTTCCATAGGGTGTTAAATTCACTGCCATCACAATGAGTCATGAAGCCATGAGCCTCCCTAAAATGACCATTTTCAGGACAGAAATTGAGGCTTCCCTGGAGTGCTGTCAAATTGGTCCAAAAGCAAGACGAACTAGATACAACCTGAGAACCCTGAAGTCCCATCCAGATGGTAAGCCTCACATCCAAACAGTCACAGCAGAAGGCAGAAGCTGACATGGCCAGGAGAGTGTTTCAGAGAGCGGCTGGAGCCCATGGCAGTGAGCAGCACTTCCTGCCGGCCCCCAGCAAGAAGGGGGCATTGGGGCAAGACCTCTGAGGGACTCTGGAAAGGAGACATAATGTGTGCTGGGTGGCCACCCTGGGCCGCGCTGTCATCAGGGCCTGTCCAGTGTGTGAATGCCATCTGCAGATGTTGAAACCAGGGTTCAGGGCTGGGGGTGACGGAGTGTCTCGCCCCAGGCCATGCGTGCAAGGAAAACTGAAACAGCCATCGGACTAATATGAGAACCTAGCCGAGCGGCTGGTATTGTCTGAAACGCACCAGTCTCCCCCAGCAAGCTTCTCAGACCAGGGTGGCTCTCCCCACATTTCCCACTGCTGCTTCTTGTCACTCTCAAGAGTGGCAGTCCCTTAGGGAGGGAAGAGTTCCTATTGAACATTTCTGTGCCAGCTGTCTCGCCCGTAGGCACTCATTCCCTCCTTCATTCATCCCGCCTGGTTGTCTTAGCGCCTCCTCCCTGCCAGGCCCCCAGGCAGCTTTGGGACTAAGAGAAAAACCTCACCCAGCTCCCCCAGTGGGGTGGAGGGGACATACGTGTCCCAAGAACTCTGTCTAGCCAAGACACAGTGAGGGGAAGGGGGTGGTCACAGCTGCCAAGGTGGGGAGGGGGTCTAAGAGGCTTCACTGGGCATGGTGGGGTGAACCCTCTCGGAAAGCAAAGGGCGGGTACGAGGGTGGAAAAGGTTTCCCAGGAGGTGGGAACAGAATATGCAAAGTCATGGAAGCATGAAATACATGAGAGGAACCGAAGATTTTTATCAAAGACCAAACCACAGGATGACGGCAAAGGAGGAGGAAAAAATGAAAGAAGCCATCTGGGGCCAGATGTCAGAGGCCTCCATCCTGGCTCCAGTAAAACCGTCGTCCCACCCGACCACTTCAGCCCGGGGAAGACGGGAAGCGGGCTGCCTAAAGCAGTTCTAATTGACGGGGTGTAAGGAAGGAGCCTACCGCCACAGAGGCACAGAGCCCAGGCCGGGGGCAGCGGGCGGGCGGGCGCCTGGACTCACCGCGGAGCCAGCGGGCGCCTGCGTGCGTGTCCTTGAGGCGGATGAGGCGGCGGTGCGCGTAGCTGCGGCCCACGTACCACAGCATCCAGAGCAGCTGCAGCAGCATGAGCGCCGTCAGGAAGCACAGCAGGTCGCTCTTGCCCACGCCCAGGGCGTGCACGGCCCAGGCCAGCAGCAGCAGCAGCCCCGCCACGAACACGTTCAGCCCGTACTGGCTGGGCGCGGCCCCCGGCC